TTATCTTATGTTTCAATAAAACATTTTTGTGCGAATGCCAAGTAGCCTGGATTGGTGGGTCACAGAATTCGTAAACTAAGCCGATTTTGGAGCCTCAACCCACGGTCTAATAAGGCGTACGTACGGGTTACATAAGGCGTACGTACGCCTTAATAAGGCGTACGTACGCCTTATTAAGGCGTACAACGTACGGGTTACATAAGGCGTACGTACGCCTTAGTAAGGCGTAAGTACGGGTTACATAAGGCGTACGTACGCCTTAATAAGGCGTACGTACGGGTTATGAAAATAAAATAAAAATTCATCATGTCCCTTAAACAGCTTCGTAACTTTTTATTTAGAGATGGAGGGTCTAGAACCTATGAGCCCCACCATGGTTGCGGTTGAGGTAAAGAAAAATATGATTATGGCACTTCTAGATGGCTGGAAATCACTCTAAGAAACTGATCTGGTTAATTAGCTTTCATAACACATTTTTAATGATATTTTGATACATACACATCGGTACTGACTTCCATGAGCAATTGATAATAAAGCAGTGAAAACATGCAAATATTATAAATTTGCGGGAGATGGATTATTTTCCGGGAGATAATTTCTGGCTTGCGGGAGTGCGGGAGTGTCCAGATTACCCGGAGACTATTGCGAGTTGCAGTCGACTTGTGACGCCTGAACTTTACAGTTTCTTATATTATAGAATATATACATATATATTAAAACTTATGTTTGCTGCACAGCACCGTAAACGAAATACAAATAGATATAATAATAATAATAATAATAATAATAATAATAATAATAATAATAATAATAATAATAATAACAATAATAATAATAATAATAATAATAACAATAACAATAATATTAATAATAATAATAGTAATAATAATAATAATAACAATAATATTAATGATAATAATAATAATAATAACAATATTACATGAATGTGTGAGCATTTCAGTTGGTTGTATGAGAGAAAGTGCCTGAGGGTTAGATCCGCGAGTATACCTATTAAATAGGTGGTCTCCATGGCCTAATGGTATGATACTCGCCTTTATAGCGAGGGTTTTCATACAACTGAAATATACATATAGGCACAATATAAATTTAAATTTTCAATAAGATATCGCATTCGAAAGAGCTCATAGGGATTTAATTTTTTTTTATTCAACTCTGACAACATTTTCTCCTAATAAATTGTAAATTCTGCAGAAGTATATATTAAATATTCTAATATATATCCGGTTCTAAGAACATGTTTTTAAATGATTTCGTCATTTGTAATACACCTTAAGATACTACCTACATTCGTCCATGAAGTTCTTATATGTAAACAACTAAACAGCAAATGGTTTTCATCCTCAGAATTTTCCAAACATAGAGCTTCCTGTTTGTAGACAATATTGTATTTAAAAGTTTGTAATTGAATTGTGCATAACGTTTTGTCCTTTTTACACACTTTGTGTAACCAACATCATTTCCAAAACATGAATACATTTTTTGTGTTAATACCTTTATACTTGGTATAGTATTCTTTTTCTTCATATATATATATATATATATATATATATATGCCTATATTATTATTATTATTATTATTATTATTATGAATGTGTGAGCATTTCAGTCGATTGTATGAAAGAAAGTGCCTGGGTGTTAGAACTGCGCTTATACCTATTGGTTGTCTCCGTGATCTAATGCTATGATACTCGCCTTGATAGGGTTAATACAACTGAAATAAGGAGTTTGAAGTTCAATGGCTATGCTTGGTAGGATTATAACGTCATGTTTCTGTTGATTTATTTATTTTGTATATTTTTGACTATTTTCTTTCACCACTTTCTTTGTCACTATACATATCATAAATATGATATCGCATTCAAAAGAGCGCGCCATAGGGATTTAAAAGTTTTTTTAATTCAACTCTGACCACATTTTCTCTTTATAAATTGTAAATGATGCAGTTCCAAGAACAGGTTTTTAAATGATATATCGTCATTGTAATACACTTTAAAATACTACCTACATTCGTCCAGGAAGTTCTTATGTGTAAACAACTAAAAGGCTAATTGTTTTTATCTTCAGGAATTCGGATTTCTTAATTTTCCAAGCATTGAGCTTTTTGTTTGTAGGCAATATTGTATTTAAAATTTGTAATTAAATTGTACTAACTTTTTGTCCTTCATTTTACACATTTTCTGTAACAAATATGATTTCAAAAACATGAATATATTGGTTTTGTGTTAATACTTTTATACTTGGTAATATTATTATCTTTTTCCTTACATATAAAATTAATAGCAGTTTTAGTTACATGTTTCCATTGATCAGTTATAGCCTTAATAATACATACATATTCGATTAGACAATTTGATTTACATTGCAAATTTGCTAATTAATAATTCATTCAAGTATAAAAGATATTTTTCCTTGACTATGTCTTAAATTTAAATTATACCACTGGTAATTCAGTGTCTGTAGAAGAGTGATTTGTTTTTAGTTGTACCCCAGCAGCCCATTCAGTATATCATAGGCTTGAACCTTTTGCTTGTTACATTTGTTAAACCATGTACATGTTTGGATAATATTTTTTATATTTAATAATTTCTGAAGTGTGTGTATTTGTCAAGTTGATACTAGCCCTAAACATTATGTTTTAAGCTGTTAGATAGCTTTAAATTATCGCAGGGAACAGTGTTTCACCGTTCCCTAGTTAACCAGAATGATTTGCGTGTTGATATCTGTCTGGAATCTTGTCTCTCGGCGGGGAAGGGAACGTTGAACTCTCTGTTGGAGAACGTAGACCCTTCATGTCGGGATATCTCTGCCGCCGCTGCCTGGATTATCATTATCACAACTGGAAGTTATTAAATATTGTTTCATAGCTTAATGATAACATATCGTAATTAAACACTCAAGCAATGTCAATGATTCCTTATCCTTCCAAAATACATACTTCATAGACTAAATTGCAGTGAATGACGAGAACATAACATGTGTTGGGCTGAACTAGTAATTAAGTTAGAGATTATTTAATCGTTAAAATACGATACAGAGTTATTCGCTTGTCAGGAAATTCAACATAACATACCATCAAATACAGATAACGGGAAATTCCCCAATTATGAGTAAACCATCTGCTTGCAAAAAAGATATGATCTATGCAAATTTTTTTTTCAATATAGATGCACCACATATAGGCATGTGTGCTATCGATGCAAAGATGTATTTCAAATATATTAAATATTGATTGGTTAAAAAAAAAGACTCATGATATACTTATTTATTATTTGTTTTATTTATTTATTTGTTTTATTTATTTGTTTTATTTATTTATTTATTTACTGTATTTGTTTTATCTATTTATTTGTTTTATTTATTTTTTTATTTGTTTTAATTATTTATTTATTCATCTATTTATTTATTTATATATTTATTTATTTACTTAGTTATATATATATATTTATTTATTTATTTTTCCCCATTTTCTGTTTTGCACTAAAAAAACATAAAATGAATAATATAGTTTAAACCATTATGTAAGGGGGAAATGGCTTAAAGCTGATTAGATGAGTCTAATAAGCTTTAATAAACTTAACATTCAACATATTGATTTTTAAGTTAATTAGAAGTAATGAAAATAAAATTTCATAGACATCATCGGTTCTAAAACACAGAGGATAATTAAGTACCTTGGATATACCAAGATCAAAGGGTGGCCTCACATTGCAGCCGGTTAAAAAAAGAATGAAATGTAAAGGTGTTGATTATTTAGAATACAACGAAAACACAATAACAAGATTTAAATACAAGCACTTAACAATATATTTATTTATTTGTGACACTTCACCTTTGTATCGGTGGCACTCAATAATAACAATAAAAGTCATTAAAACTCGACTAGATTGCTCAAAAGTTAAAAACGTTTACTGTCAGGGAGTCTCTGTGTTTAATCTGAAATTATTATTTTTTAAGTGAAATTAATATAAATGTGCAAAAATAAAATTTTGGTTTATAAAAAGTAGTAAATTCAATGCATTAAAATTAATCATAAAATGTGGTTAATACATATATTATCATTATTATATTTTATTTTATTTTATTATTTTTATAATATATATATACTGTATATATATATATATATATATTTGAATATACATACATATATATGTATATATATGTAAATATATATGTATATGTATATAAATAATCTACGTAGTTAGTTTGAACC